TTGGCAAATCTGCGCATCAAGCTCTCAACCAAACCTCCTCGAAACAAACAAGAAATGTGGGCTACTATCGAGAACTATATTCAGAGAGAACAAAACACTAAAACGTTCGCAAGAATCTTTCTCAATCGCGAGAGACAAAAGATCTCGAGATAAGACAAGGATCGTGTCAGAGTCAAAGCCAACACTACCTAAACTCGACAGGCAGCTCACTCCATTGCTCAAGCCTTATCGAGAGATACTCCAGATTCATATGGATGAACTTCCAGTTCCAAAGCCTTTGGCTCCTAACCCCAACAAGTCATATGATCAGTACTGCGAGTACCATTGAGATCATGGCAATGACACTGAAGATTACCGAGAGCTAAAGCAAGAAATTCAAAATGGCATCAAGTCGGGGAAGTTCCAACAGTATGTCCAGGGTGGCGCTCGGCAAAAGGGGGGAAGAAATAATGGTTCTAGAGGTTTTCCTAAGCGTAGCTTCAGAAGCACTCGTGAAGACAATCGAGGAAATAACTGGCAACTGAGAAGTAATACACAACAACCTCCTCAACAAGCGATCGAAGGAGGGCGACAACCACTTCAACAAGTCCCTCCAACCAATCCTACTAAGCAGATTACTGCGTTTGTGGGGGCAATCTATGGTGAACCTCTCGAGGTTCTTTCCACAACAGCTATGAAGGCCTCAATTCGAGCAGTAACTAAAACTCCTCAGGAGCCCAATCATAAACGATTTAAAGGGACAGAAGCAATAGTCTTCACCGACAGCAATATAGTCCTCGACATCTGCCCGCATAGTGATGCCATGGTCATTGAAGCAATAATAGGGAACGTTCGAGTAAGCCAGGTATACGTGGACAATGGCAGTGCAATTGACATCATCTACATTGACTGCTTTAAGAAGATGAATATCCAGAATCCAGGAATAAGTCCAGCTACATTACCACTAATGGGCTTCCCGGGCCACACGATCGTCCCTATAGGAATTGTTAGACTTCCCATCATGGTAGGGTTGCATCCTCGAATGATAACGCTGGCCACGGACTTTGCTATCATAGATGCACCCTCGCTGTTCAACGTGATCCTAGGATGACCATAGATGTGCTAAGCTCGAGCCGTTTGGTCCTCCCATCATTTGGTCATGAAGTTCGCGGCAAAATATGAAGTAGGGGTTGTGCAAGGGTGCCAACGCAGCTCTCGTGAATGCTTATTCATGGCTGTGAAAAATGGAAAAAAAGCGGTGAAGACTAAAGTTACTATTGCTATGTCAGGCTGTTACTCGATTCAACAAAGGGCACCGCAACCAGAATCGGGGAAAGATGAGCAACCTATGGATCTCGACTCGCCCCATTAGTCACCACTCAGTAGTAAAACAAAAGAGTTAGTCCTTAATGAAAAAAGCCCTCGAAGACCATCCAACTTGGGGTATCCTTACAAGGAATATTGAGAGCTGAGGTGATTGCCTTGCTACACGAATTCCAGGATATATTTGCATGGGTACCATCCGACATGACAGCAGTTCCATGAGAGATCATTGAACACAAGCTGAATGTAAATCCTAATGTCAAGCCAATATAGCAAAAGAAGAGGATATTTGCTCGAGATCATTTATCAATGAGGAAACTCTCAAGATGGTTCACGCCAACATTCTCCGAGAAGTCCTTTGGCTTACCTAGCTCGCTAATCCAGTCCTCGTTTGAAAACTTGATAACTCTTGGCGCATGTGCCAAGATTACACTGATCTCAACAATCATTGCCTCAAGGATTGCTATGCCTTACCAGTTATCGATCAAATGATCGAGGGAATTACCGGATACAAGATTCTCAGCTTCCTTGATACTTATAAGGGATACCATCAAATACTTATGGCACAGGAAGACACTGAGAAGACAGCCTACATCCGGAAATTGGCGTGCATTACTGTGAGACGATGCTTTACGGCCTGAAAAACGCTGGAGCCACCTACCAGCAATCAGTAAACAGGGGATTCCAAGGAATAATCAGGCAAAACATTGAAATTTATGTGGATGACATGGTTATTAAAAGCAACATGGACGACTAGGTAGTTATGGACATGCGATAAATCTTCACAATTCTCCGCAAAATCAACATGAAAGTTTAACCCGAAGAAATGTGCCTTCTGTGTTGGATCAGGAAAATTCCAAGGGTTCCAAGTCTCCAAGGACGACATCAGTGTAGATCCCAGAAAAGTCGAAGCGATCCTAGCAATGGAAGCACCCAGAACAATTAAAGAAGTCCAAAAACTCATCGGATCCCTAGCTGCCTTGAATAGATTCCTTTCTCGGACAGCAGAAAGAAGTCTCCATTTCTTAAAAATGTTTTGCAAGGGATGAAAGTTCGAATGGAATGAAGATTGTCAATAAGCTTTCCAGAGTTGAAGGAACACCTCAAACAACTACCTATACTAGCCAAACCAGATCCAGGAGAAGTACTGTATGTTTACTTATCTGCTCGAGAAAAGGCCATCTCCGCGGTCTTAATCCAGAGGAAAAACAGAAAAGAAGTCCCAGTATACTTCGTAAGCGAAGCCCTACAAGGGGCAGCATCTCGATACACCCCCCATGGAGAAGTTCATACTACGCTTGGTGCTAGCTGCTCGACGATTGCACCCTTACTTCCAAGCACATCCCATCAAGGTTTTAACAGAGCAACCTATCCAACATGTTCTTAAACTTGAGGCATCTGGCAGAATGATGAAGTGCGCGGTCGAGTTGGGAGAACATCATACTGAATACAAGTCTCGTACGCTATAAAAGGGCATGGCCTTCGCAGACTTTTTGGTCGAAATGTCCCGTACTCTAGACGTTCTCGAAAACTCCCAACCCAAGGAGCAGTATCACAAACACAAACTAGGAGACCCTTGAGCCTGGACATTGTACATCGATAGCTCCTCTCGTGAAAAAAGGGGAGGAGCCCGCATAATCCTGGCTAAGCCAATGGCGGAGCGCGAGATCGAGCAGATGAAAGAATATGACACCGAATACACTTATGCTTTAAGGTTCAGTTTCCCTGTAACTAACAATGTGGCCGAATATGAAGCATTGATCGCTTGGTTGAACATGGCCCTTAGGCTTGGAGTCCAAAATATAGAAGTTTTTTGCGATGCTCAAGTGGTGGTCAATCAAATCAATTGGGACTACACAGCTAAAGATGAGCATCTCATGAAGTATCTCGAACGAAATCCTCGAGTTAAAAGAAAAGTTTGGGAAGTGCATTTTGTCTCATATCCTCAGGTCGAGGAACAAAAGGGCTGACCCATTGAGTAAATTGGCTTCATCTAACTTCGTACACCTTAGTCATAAGGTTTGGGTCGAGATCGTGCCCAAACCCAGCATTCAGTATGTCCTAGTACTAATGATTACAAAAGATGGGGATACATGGATGACACCTTTCATTCAGTTTCTAACAGATGGGATGCTGCCTAGAAAGAAGTCCGAATCTTGAGCATTGCAGCTGAAAGCCATAAGTATACCCTGAAGGACGGAATCCTCTACAAGCATGGGTACCTGCCACCAATGCTACCTTGTATCGGCCCTAAACAAGCAGCGTACCTCCTTGAGGAGATACACGAAGGATCATAGCACACATGGGAGCTCGAGGACTGGCAAAAAAGATCTTGAGGGCAGGTTACTTCTGCCCCAAAATATTCAAAGACGCGTACCAGTTTGTGCAAAAGTGCGATAGATGTCAATGATTCTCTCTCATCACTCGACAACCACAATACGAGATGATCACTATCCAAATTCCTTGGCATTTCTACCTATGGGGCACTGACATCATCGGTCCTTTTCCAAAAGGGGCAGGAGGTGTAGGATGAGTAATTGTAGCAATGGATCACTTCACTAAATGGGTGGAAGCGAAACCATTCGCCTCGATATCAAGAAGGAAGGTGTTGAATTTTTTCTGGCAAAATGTGGTCTGTCGATTCGGAGTTCCTAAAGATATCATATCCGACAGTGGATCATAGTTTGAGAGTGATCCCTTCAAATCCTGGTGTGTGAAAATGCAAATCAAGCGCTGATTTTCCTCCGTAACTCACCCTCAAGCAAATGGACAAGCAGAGTCCATCAACAGAACCATCTTGCATGGAATCAAAACCAGGCTACAGAGCGCCAAAGGAGCCTGGGCCGACGAACTTTCCCATGTTCTATGTGCGTATCGCACAACAGTTCATTCCTCAACAGATGAAACACCAGATAGTTTGGTCTATGGCATGGACATTTTTCTCCCCATCGAAATCGGTCTGGCAAGTCCTCGAACTATCAATTTTATCTAGGATACCAACAACGAGGACATCAAGGATAATCTCGACCTGCTCGAGGAACGGCGAGATGCCGTCAAAATCCGAGAAGCTAAGTACAAGGAAACCCTCAGACGACACTTCAATAAGTGGGTCAAGAGCACTGACTTCGCGGTTGGAGACCTTGTGTTTAGGAAAAACGAAGCCAGTCGAGAAGAAGCTCCTGGAAAGCTATTAGCAAATTGGGAAGGCCCCTACTGAGTCATTAAGACTTCTCCATCTGGTAGCTATTGCCTACAAACAACAGATGACGCAAAAACCATCCTCCCTCAATGGTGGAATGTCCATAACCTTCGCAGGTTCTATGTTTAAATTTCTATTTGTTATTTGCTAAGTTAAGTGCAACTACTTGCTTTAATTGCTTTACTGCTTTTAGCTCTCTTATATGTAATGCTAACACGGGTCCTTGGTTAATTATTCAATAAAAGTCCTTGCATATTTTTTAATAAATATTCTTACTTGTGTTGGCACTATAATATGACTAGTCCTCGAGATGGGCATCCTCTTTAGGACCATCCTCGCTTGTGCCATGTATTCAACATCCAAACATAAAACCAGGGAATATTCCCCGTACTAACCGTAGATTGCGGTATAATTTTAACGAGGAACTCGTACCCACTTCCCTTGAAAGAGCCGTATACTTTAGATCTGGCCGAACAATACAAGAGCTATATAAATTACTCCAGTATTAAACTAATGGTGCAAACAGGCACCGAACTTTCTTTATCCTCACACATCGTGCAAGATTCGATAAATACAAGAAAATACACCTGCCCTCCTCTAAATTACAAGGACTTCCTTGGATTTTCCCGAGAAGGCTGTATAACGAATGAAAAACCCATAATCTTCAACTTATTTATGTATTGATTCAGTTTATCCTTCAAGTCAATAATTTCCAAGTCTTGATTGCTCGCGTTCAGCAGCAATTCCTCTCGAGCACTCTTGGCTTTAGGGTCTTCATCCTCAGCAGGCCCCTCTAACTCTGCGAAAGGAATCCCGTGATCGACCAGTAAATTCTGATAGATGGTTGATTGCTTTACAAGGAATTCTATGTCTTGAGTTCTCTTCTTCAACAAGTCAACCACGGCTGTAAAACGAGTGGTCCTGACTTTTAATTGGTGCTCAGCTCTGGCAAATGTATGGTTCTTCTCGAGAAACCATGGGGATATCACAATTCCCTCGCCAGCTCTCAGCTTAGCGTTCTCTTCCTTTAGATGAGTTATTTCTTCATAGATATCCTGCTCCTATATCAAGAAATTCTGATAATCAAGGGCATATTGGTGTAGGCGGCGTTGCATTTCTTCCTCCGTTGCCCAAATATTGTTCATCAGTTGATTGTGAATTTTAACATTGTACGCCTGGATGGCATCGAGGATATCCTTCTCAAGCGTTTTTACTTTCTCAATGTTGTGTATATTCTCTCTCCTCCTTAAAATGCCAGAAAGCATCGAGTACAGGGGGAATTCTTTGGATTGACTCTTATCTAGTATCATCACATAGATTCAATGGGCAAAGTACGTTTCCTAGCACATTCAATAGAGATAGTCAAAAAACAAAACACGATGATAAGGAAGAATAACATATTAGCTACTTCGAAAGAAATTATTTACAAACAGCCATTTAAACGATTTCCTACGGTACTCAAAATTATCATAAACAGTTTATTACAAAGAAGAAGTTCATACAGCACCTTGAGGATTAGATGTTCCGCCTGGAAGATTCTCAGATGTACCCTCAGCAAACCCTTGGGTGGGAACCAGGAATAGAAGCTTCTTTTATATTCTCCTCGATCTGAGGATCCTTATCTTTGGCTCCAGAGTTTCCAGTGTCCACTTACTATGAGACCATCATCAGAAACAAGGTCAATGCCAATTTCACTATCTGATACCTCAGGAATCCACATCTCAACAACTGGAGAACCGGTTAGAATCTCATAAATATCAACCGGAAAGGAGGTGATCTCCTCTGGTGCGCCCATCTTGCCAAGAGCACCACCCAAAGAGTTCAGCAGAGGGAGTTTCTCTACGCGCAGTAGTGTCAGACCCTCCACCATGGGTTCATGCATGGTGCGATGAGGATTGGGCCTCAAGAACTGCTTAAACCACTTGGCATTAATTGGTTTTTTGTTCTCCAACCTCTCGAGGCTGGCAACTGCAACACCGTGGCCACCATATTCTTCGCAGTTTCATTGATCTTTGCCACAATGTTAGCCATGCCACCGGTTTGCAATACCCTAAACAAGAAAGCGACGAAACACTTGTCGAGATCTACTTTTGAGATATGCAAGTCCCTGAATTCCTTCATTTTTGTATCCAGCTCATTATACCTTGCCTGCAATGAGGCAAGTTCTTTCTCCTTGGCAGTGAGCAATAGCTGCTCCTTTTGAAAGATCTCCTCTCGGACAGCTTTCTCATGCTCCATCTCCTTCTCCTTAGCTTGGGCCTTGAATATCTCCTCCCTTAGATTCCTCGAGCGTAGTAAAAACCTCATCATCGCTGTGCTTATCTACAAGTAACAATGAGAATTCTAAGAACCGGCAGATATCCGTGAATTCGAAGAATGTGAAAAACTTTAAAAACTTAGAAGTTTCATGATATCCTCCTCAGTCAGAATTACTGCATGCTCTTCTAGCGAGGGACACTCAATCATAGGAGGATTGGGACGGCCCAAGTCTCAAGTACGACTATTTATCGTGTCTAGTGACAAACTGAGCTGCCCGCCGGACAATCTCTTGCCCAAGGCTTTGTGGAACAGAACTAACTAGTTCAACCTTCTGAATTTTCACAGCGGAAGACTTAATTACTACAAAAATGTTTCCAAAATTTAATACAAATTTCGAAGTTCAAATAAGCGCTAGACTAAAGAAAAGCCAAATGCTTCTCTTCGCAATCAATTCAATTTATTCTTTCCTTAACTTAGCGAACCTACTAACATGTGAGGAAAAATAATAATGGGATGAGCTTTAAAGCCCAGTGAATACCTCAAACAACAACTCCCAGTCTCTCACACTCCATACGGTAATCAAGTCACATGTAGATGCAGTTATTCACACAGTTCATTTTTATCCATCATTTTCATTTATTAACATTGTCTACAAAGTTCTATTACTATAATTGTTTGACTAACATTATCTACGGGATGAATTGCATTTGAAAAAGAAACATTCAGTCACATTAGCACATAAAAGATGACCATATCCGAGGCCATTGACATATTCTCATGAGGATACGAGTGGATCTTAACTGGAGACTGCCGAAGACCTATGTGGTCTTTTGGGTTGTCTTCCAAGTTAGATTCCCAATTGGTGTTCAGGTTACATTTCAAATCCAATAACAATAACCCGTCACTCCAAGTGGCCACAACAATCAAGTACTCGTAGCTCGTGCACGCCTACTGAAGCTATCCATAGTCTATCCATAAGTCTGTGCCCAATGCCGACCCGTTGGATTCGATCTATGGTAGCGGGGCCCCGAGACTGGTGTGATAATGTACACATCCAAGTCTCAACAATTTCATAGCAATTCATGCACAAGTCCTCTTTACAAGACAGATCATGACAATAGCGATTCTCGGTGTGATAAAGTACACAAACGAATAGAAGGGCAAGCAACTCAATTCAATTAACACATAAACAAGTAATACCATTACAATCTCGTATCACATGTTCAAGTAGAAGCACCAAGCTTGCACTTCAATCATGTAAAAGCACAGAAACACTCAACAATCATGCACTGAGAGGGGAAGACAAGGTTACAATATAGAGCGTGTGAAAAGGTACTCACCTTTGCCCTTTAATTCATTGTGACCGCCCACAAAATCTATTAATGGAATATTTAAAATTGTTTTGCTTTCATAATATTCTAAAACTAGACAATTAGCTGTAATTATATATTCCTATGATGCTTGTCTAGTAATTGATTTCTAAGCTGCATCTCCTAGTAATTGAGGTGTCGTCATTCAAGTTTATAGGTTATGGCTTAAACTTCAACGAACAAGGATGGAAGTAGATGAAATACCTATAGAAAAAGAGTAAATGATCAAAGGAAATATAGTCTCAAATCGGCAACTCAATCAAGGTTCTAAAAATTCAGCAAGACTAATGGTGAAGGGTAATATTAGAAGTACATTTTTAGTCAAACCAAGGATCCGATTTACAAGCCGTCAAAACCTTTATAAACTAGGGTAAACAAGGAAGGGTCCTGACTGAAGAAATCAGGAACAACAGTTCAGAAACCGGAAGAACACTGATCTGCAAAGCAGCACATCAGGGCTGAAATTTTGAAAATTCCAGAATCAGTCATTCAAATTCAAATTCAATTTTCGGGCAATCTGTAGCTCCATTTTACAATCCGTAAAATCCGTAATAAACGTCAGTGAATATAGAAGAGATCCTCCAAAAGGAATATCCAAAAAAACAATTCATGAAAGGGGAGAAACAAATCTCCGAAAACAACAGCTACATATAAGTTTCGGGAAATTTTTCAGAATGGACATGTTATATAGAAAAATGAGTTTTCAGCTAAACCACAATTCCTTTTGGCTATCCATAAAACCTGAGTTATACTACAATGGATGGAGAAGATGTTCGTTAAAAGAAATCTCGAAAAAAGAATTCCATAGCTATGAGAAAAAGGGCTGACCACAAAGGGGTTCAAATCTGATTTTTTTTCTGCAATTTTCAGCAACGATAATGTCATGTTCAAATGGGGTTTCCGGAAAAATTAGAAGTCCGTTTTAGAATCCGTAAAAACCACATCTAAGTAGACTGAATGAAGAACAGTTTCATGTAAAGAATTTTCATAAAACAGTTTAGTCAAGAGGAGAAACGAATCTCCAAAAGCTGCAGCACAACACAGAATTTCAGAAAATGGTGATCATGTTCAAATCCTATTTTCGGACTATCTACAAATCCATTTTGCAATCCGTAAAAACCTGGATAAACTACACTGAATGAAAAACAAATTCATGAAAAGAAATCCCAGAAAAGAGTTCCGAAGCTATGATAATCAAAAGCAATCAAAGTTTGGACAGAGATAGCCATCAATTACAGAGATTCAAAGCCTCAAAATTCAGCGCTTGAATCTGAAAATTCCCTTTTGTTCCTAGTCATAAGATCCTGTTTAGTTTCAAACTCCTGTTATGTTCCATAATTTCTAAGCTACTGCTAAACTAGCAATAAAACTAAGCGACTAACAATCCTTACAATCTATCCATGACATGCAACTTAAGAATGAAGAGTTAGCTAAACAGTTATTCTCTTTCTTTACCAATTATTCATTAAATTCAGATTTTAGATTGGCTAATGAATGTTTAGTATGTTTACCTCTGTTGCTGCTAACACACCCGAGGATTTCCTACCCGTTGCCGCTGCCGAACCGTCGCTGCCCAATAATTGGCCGAATGCAATAATCGACCAACCCCTCAAGCATCTTTTTCTCCTCTCCTTTCTCTCAGCTTCCTCTTTCTTTCTTTTCATGTTTTCCCCTGTTTTTCTAACTTAGATTGAAAACTAAGGCAAGACAAGGTGACTTATTGATGGTGGCGGTTTGAAAGCTTGGAGTGGTGGCCGTTTGATTTAATTAAAATTTGGGGCGCAAGGGATTTTAGAATCAGAACTACAAAGTATAAATGAGTGTGCTAAGTTTGTGTGTGTCTGCGTGGAAGAGAGAAAGGAAGGTGAGAGAGCTTTCCATTTTTTTTTTCTTCTTATTTCTTTACTCAAATCTCTGTTTAATGAATGTATGGGGGTTGTCAACAAGAGAGCCATCAAACGTGTGTTGTCATCAGGAGAGAATGACTGAGATGAGTAAGATATGTTGATGTTTTGTCAATTTTTATTTTTCCCTCAAATAGCCACTTAATTTATAGGTTTAGTCAATTCACTCACATTTCTTTTAGTTTATTGTATGAAATCAATTAATATCGTTATTTGTTTCGAAAGTGGCATCATTAGGTGATCTTATATTGATTAAAAACTACCGATTCTTAGTAGCTAGCTACTAATTTCATCTTTTATGCTAAAATAAAGGGAACCCGGAATAGGTCCTCACAAGGATTACTGAAAATATACACAGCTGTGACAATAAATCCATCGGAAGATCGAGGAGATAATACATCCTCCTCGAGAACCGCTTTGCCCTTCTCCAAAGAGGCGGCAGCGAACTAGGTCTTGCATCAGCAATGGGATTCACCTCCTTGAAAACATGGTGTACTTCAATTTGCTCAACTGGAGGATCCCTCTTTCCCTCGAATATGGGTGGATTCAATTTGTCCCCTGCTCTATCGAGACGGTCTTTTCCTCGACGCGGGGGTCACTCTTGCTTTTCTTTTGCAACTCCTTTTCAGTTGCCTTCATCAGTCTCTTCTTCTTCTTCTTCTTCTCAACCTTGGTTGACGACTCGTTGTCATCTAAATTCATAACAAGAAAGGGCCGGGTATCACCATACAATACAGGTGCGGTTTGCTTGAAGATATAACCTAAACAAAAAGGATGAAGAGAGATTAGTACTTCTTTCTCCTCGACTGGAATCAGAGGAACATAGGTTTGAACATCACTCCAGAGGATAAAGTCTGGATATTCTGTCATCGCCTTCACGTCAGCGTCATACTTCTCGATCTTCTTTTTATCAGAATCACTTACTCATCTTTTATGACCTCTAAGTTATGCGATTCTCAATAATCCCAGGAAATACAAAAGTTCTCTGGTGCTTTTACGAATAAATAATCAAGTTTCCACACTGGAGAACCACCATATGCAGTTACTAGGCCCACACACCATATTCGGGATTCTTCTTCACGTTATACCAATCTTGGAACTTAGTCGAGGGTACACATCCTTTAAAGAAGTACCTCCGTACTATCAACCGAGGCCTTACATTTACTAGTTCACATACCCTCACAAATATGAGGACATACGTTATCAGATTTGGGGTGAAACGAGAAAGGGGCATTTTATAGTATTGCGCAATCCCCCCAAACAAGGGAAAAGGGGGGAATCTAAGCCCTAAATACGAATATCATTCATAAACACTGAATTTTCTCTCTGGAGGAGTATTGACTCTCTCGTTTCCTATAGGAATTCTAACTTCTAGATCTACAGGAAGGCCATATTTCTTGACTACGGTCTTGGCTATCTCATCAGAATCTATGGTGGATTCAAAATTCTCAACAGAAATCAAATCTGGGTTCCTAGCCATATCTATCAATAATAGTAAATTTAGATTTGAGATTTGGAAATTCAATAGCAAAACAGTTGGATACTTAATGGAATGGGTTTCCACTCGCCCTTTGAATTATGTCCTCCCAGGATGTAGATCCCTCGGGCGGTACAGGTGATGGTTGCTCTGGCGATGACAACAAGGGTACTGGGGCAGCGAGAGAAAAGTTCTTGGAATTCAGATGGAATTTTGAAAGTTAATGAGGAAGAATAATCTGCATGACTCTCTCTCTTCGTTATAAAAAGGAGGGTTTTTGTCTTCCCACGTCTATGCCATTGCAGCATGAATCAAGGCAGTAATGATGTTGCTGGCATCTGTTTGGGGACCGTGCCCACTAATGAACCACGGTTTGTGATTTAGGTGGGATATTGAAGCGGGTCGTCTTCCCGGTTCATGTCTTCACCCGCGAGCAGATACAATAGGGGTCTTCTTTGTGAGCATTGAATCACGACTTGTCCAAGTCACCTTGGGCCTAGTCCAGGTTAGACTTATTTGTGTCAAGTCTTATTTACTTCGTATAGCTAACACTTGACAGGGGAACTTGACGAGTCCATATCCACCACGGGCTGTTGGACTCAGCCTATCCGCTGTACATGGATGAACCGACTCCGAGAGGGAGGTTTATCAATACAAAACCTAGTAGGATTCGGACATCCACAAGGTAAATCTATGCCTATAAATAGAATTGATCTCACCACAATTGAGGTACACAATCAAGAGCTTCCAATAGCAACCATACGTTTATTATAAACCCTTTTACTGACTTAAGCATCGGGATGTCTACCCTCGGGAGACCCCCGAGGTTTTCTCTTGCAGATCACCAAAACCCTACCGGAGTTCCATCACAAAACCGGCGATCTAATTCCGGCTTCGTCATTATCCTCCTTTTAATAAAAGTTTAGTTTTATTTAATCTCCTGAATGCACAGTTAAGTGTTACTATGCCTTAGGCGTGAGCCTGGGAGACATCTCGGTGTTACTAGCCTGACTTGGCTTTCTTTGGCTTTAATAAACAAAAATATTTAGACAGAAACAAGCTGGTGATACCCCGGGGTGTTACAATTACTCTCCCTGTTGAGCACATCACTTGACATCTTTCAACCGTTGCATTCCAATCTTGTTAACTAACTTTTCAAAAGTTGATAATGGTAATGACTTTCTAAATAAATTAGCTAAATTGTCACGTGAAATTAAGGTACGCAACCTTGGAGGGGGGGTAAATAAGGTTGTCAACAGTTTTATTACGAAATGATGTTTTCTTGGACAATTATTATTTTAAGAAACAAAACAAAATAAAACAATAGTTAGCACAATAAAATAAATAAAAAAAAAGTGCAATATATGATATTGGATAAATTACCCACAAGTAAATATGATTTCAAGGAAATAAAGAGGGTCTTTGTAGGATACCTCGGAGAGTAAATTATTTTGGCGGACTTTACCGACCCTCAAGTACATATAAACACAAGAGAATAAAAAGGATCTTTGTAAGACTCCTAGAAGAGTAAATTAATTTGGCGATCTTTACCGATGGGAAATTGATCCCAATTTAAATTGTAAGAGGTCATTTGCTTGACTCCTCAGAAAATAAATATATAAGATAAATATATTATGTTAGACAAAATAAAATGCAAGATGATAATGGATTTAGGATTGTTAGATTAGATTAAGTATTAGTATGGTAAAATGAAATGCAAGATAACAATAAAAATGGACAAGAGACAACGAAATTTTTCAAGTGGTTCACGTTTTCTCCTCGTGAGAAAACTCTAATCCACCCCCACGTTTTAGCTTGGACCTTTTTCCTAAATCCCCAAAAACAAACTCGAGAATTCCTACGGGTGAAATCTAAACCCTTACAAACAAATATACTCAACCCAATATTCAATCACTTGAATCCTTCATAAGTGTTTAATCACTCTAAGTGAGTTTGTGATTACAATTTATTTTCTACAAAAAAAACGACCAAATGATTTTATCTCAAATAGCTATCAAGCTACCAAGATAACTTTTGTTCCTTCACTTACCCAAACTTCCCTTCACAACTTACGAGAGAAAGTTTAGGATTTCACTCCTATTCTATGCTGAAAAATCTAGAATCCCTATACTTACAAGATGAGAATAAATGACACAAAGTGCCAAATACAAATTTAAGCTCAAACACAATGTGTGTGCAAATATACCTCACTTGAAAAACCAACACTCAAAAAATGAAAACTCTCAAGTCTAATGTACTAATTCAATAAAGAAAGCTTGGAGAGAGTTTGATGTGAAAATAGCAGAGCTTGAGAAGGCTTGGAGTGAATTAAATGTCTTTGCATGTTCATGTTGCCTTTTATAGACAAAGGAATGCAACTTGAAACTCCAAAAGTCAAAGCAAATTAATGCTGTTGTCTAGCCTAAAATTTGATCTTCACTGTTTAATTTATTTCAACATGCTGCAGCCGTAATTAGACTTTTGTGTCTTTAGCAAAGTTGTATTCTTATCTGTCAAGAATCTAATGCAAAAAGAATCACCTCAATTGAATATTTATACAGCCGGATATACCAGTTTTACTGAAAGGCGTCACTCCCATGAATTTCTGTATAACCTTTCGGGTTTGCTGATCTTTGACCTGATAACAGCTTATTTTGCGAAATCTCAAAACATCAAAGTTGTAAATATTTGAAAGAAATTTTCATAACATCCAAGTTCATTATTTTTCACTTCTTATAGGTTGAGATATGATCTGTGGAAGTTCAGTTATTAATTCTGAAAATTTTGACAAGTTGAACTTTTACTTCTATAAATGTCAACACATTTCAAATCATTCGCTATATCACAATTTTGTTTAGTAATCAAAACATCTAATTAGTCTCTAGGATTAACATCACTTGAACGAATTTGTTGAACATTTATTTCGACATTCTTCTAAAGATTAAGAGTATAGAAAAATTTGGGCAAAATATGTTTCGTTCTATCGCCTCTAATGTATCCTTCCTTCAATTGACCTTCAATTGATCAATGCATGCAGCATTATCTTTAAGCAACATATTAGGAACATCTTTCTCCAAATGTAACACTCTCTTCACTTATTTCATGAATTGCCATAAGTTCAGAATGATTAATCTAAGTTGCAGCAAAAGTTTGTTTCATAAACCGCCATGAATTGTTCCAGTTTGGGATCAACCATTATGAGGATCAGATGAATACCCAACATGTGCATAACCTACTAAATCAGACTTAGATGTTCTCGAATGATAAAGACTCATATCTATCGTACCTTGAAGGTAGCAAAAATATGTTTAACATCATTCCAATGCCTTCTTGTGGTGAGAAACTATATCTAGCTAATAAATTCACAGCAAAAGATATATCAGGTTGTGTATGATTAGCAAGATATATTAGTGTCCCAATAACACTAAATTAAGGTACTTCTGGACCTAGTAACTCTTCACCCTCCTCACAAGGCCTAAAAGGGTCTCTATGCTTATCAAGTGTCCTTACAAGTTATAACCAATAGGTGTGCTCAAAGGATGTGCTTTCCATATAAAAACGTTTAAGTACTTTTGCAGTATTAGTAGACTGGTTTAAAAAGATACCACT